AAGCAAGTCCGAGTTTGTAGCATGCAAAAGTTTTGAAAGTTCACCTCCTAATAATGAATATCCAAGTATTAGGAAGGATAAATACCAAATGTTTTTGATGGACTATTGTGGTTACAAATATACCACAATACCCCTGGCCACTCAGTGTTCACTGCCAGGAGAGATGTTTGGAAACATGTTTCTTGCTGAGAGCAGCGAAACAGAAACTGCTACTTTTTTCCGTTTTTTTAAAAAAAAAACCCTCCATTTTTTAGTGCCCTCCCTCCGTACTGAATGCATTTTGGCAGGTTCCCACAAGAAAACGTGTCCTCTCCCTGTCGGGGTGATCTCCTGGTCTCCAAAGGACCTCGGCTCGTTTACCCTTGCCCCTGTTTGATGCTGCAGGGGCGAGCAGGCTGCGGGGGCCCCTGTCCCTGCTGCTTTGCAGACCCAGAAATGCCCCGAGCAGGGCAGGGACTGGGGCTGAGACCCCTCGGGGTGCTGTGGAGGGTGCGGGTGCCCATCCCAGCGCTGTCGGGCGCCTCTGTGGAGGGCTATAGGCACCCTATATACAGCCGCCCGGCCAGGCTCTGCCGGCATGGTGGGTAAGAGCCAGTTTCTCCCACACCAGCTCCAGTGCACGTAATGGTGTTCCCACACTGCGCCATGCTGGGCCACCATGTCTGGGGCGGCACTGTGACCCCCGGAAGGGCTGGTCCGTCACATCCCTTTTTCTGCTAGGTTATTTTTAACCAGGTTTCGGTCCCCATGCTGCTCCACAGCACGGTCCCACCAGCGGCCATGTGCTGCTGGGGGTGGCAGGATCAGGGGGAAGAGTGAGTCTGGGCAACATGGCCACTCGCACCTCCTCCTTGGAGCTGCACCAGGATGTGTCAGAGCAACGCCCTGGGCACAGGGTGGGTGCAGAGAGGTGGGAAGTGGGAGCTGAAGGACTCCACTGGGAGAGCAGGCATCCACTCATGTCACTGCACGTTCCTGCAGTCACCAGCATGAGCTCATGCACGGGGGCAAGAGGGGCTGTCTTGCTGGGGCCATCCCCAGGGATCTGCCGTCAAGAAGATAGAAAAGGGCTGACACTGCCAGTCACCTCAATCTGGAGGTGCCCATGAGTGCTGATACATGTCATCATCCCCTCACCCATGTCCAGGTCACCCAGGCCTGGTACAGCCCTGGGTGCTCATCCTCATGCTTCCTTCCCCAGTTGAGACCGCAGTGGAGCTCCCATGAACCCCTCCTAGTCCCTGCCAAATGCCATCCCCAGAACCAGAAGAGGAGCTCAACAGGACCTAGCAGGCACTAATTGGTTTTAATTGCCCAAAGCAGCTTCACCTGGGGCCCCACCCTGTGGACCTGCTGCCCCTGGGCCAGGAGCATTATTTAAGCTCAGCTCTGGGTCTTTGGTCCTTGTTTGAGTTTTTGTAGAGGTGAGTTTCTCTTTGGTCTTGTTTCCTAGCTGGTCCTTAGATGTGGGTTGTAAGATGCTTGTCTCTAGCTGTGTCTTCTGGATTGTTCCTAGATCCATGTTGCAGGTAGCTTTTTTCTGGCCCTGCACCCTGAATGGACCCCATACCTCTACTGTAGCCTTGTCTGTAGTCCTGGGTCTGTCTCCTCTTGCTCCTGGCTGGGGTCCCTGGTCCTGGTTCATCTTATCTTGTCTGGGGCTGCCAAGGGACCCTGTTACTAGTGTCCTGCTCAAGAGCTGTGGGATGACTCCTTGGTTTTTGAGGATGCTGTGTGTGCGGGGGTCACACTTGACTTCTCATCTGTTGCTCACTGTGGAGCAGCCCAATCCTTGCTGCTCCCTGACAGAAGAGCGGGAGGCCCTGGGGGACCATGTGCTGTATACCTGTTCTTGCACCACCAGGCACAGACCTGGCTCCTTGGATGCCTTTGGAGAGCAGTGGGTGCTGTTGGAGGGCTCTGCTGGGATCCTTTTTCATCTTCCCAGACTTGAGCTGTTGATCCTGAGCTCTCCAATATTGCCCACTTTTCATCAGTTGCTCTATATCATCACCTGTTTTGCCTGAGCATGTGGCTTCCCCTGTTCTGGGAGAGCTTCAAGGATCTTTCTAGGAAGTGCTTTGACCCATCTCCTCTACAGGGAGCACAGCCCTACAGCAGATCCCTGGGTGACCTGGAAGACCAGGTGTGCCTGTAAGCACCCCATCCCCATAGCTCTCATGAAGACTTCCTTGACTTGCAGCCCGGGGAGCTCCTGAGATACTGAGTCTTTGTTCAATAGCCCAGATGAATTTCTCTTCTCTCCTTTCTAAGGATGGTCTGTAGCCATGACTTATCCAGCTGGCTAAATAGCTGTAGGCTGGCCAAGGTGTGAAAGATCATCTCCAGCTTCCCAAGCTCAGGGCCCCAGGAGACATCCTTTCCCCAGGATTGGTGGTGGGGGTGTGTGGACATCACCTCACCTCACTGGGGTCTCCCGTAAAGGCTGTGGGAAAGCCAAAATTGAGCCTGGGTTGGCCTGGGGTGTTGTTCCTGGCCCCTCTTTCTCCAGGGTAGCAGGTCCTGAGAGTGCCATGGAGCCATGTGGGTCTGGCAGTGGTGAGCAGGAGAAGCAGAGAGCTGCCCAGGGGACTATGGTGGCAGCGGGTGAGCAGAGACCATGAGCAGCACATGGCAGTGGAAGTACAAAACAAGACGTGTCAGAGCAGGGTTTCCAAGGAGGCTGTGCTGTGAGCGGCATGCATGCTGCTCGCAACCACACGATCTTATCAGTGGTGCGTTTTGCTTCCCACTGCTGGCTCTCACCTCCTGCTAATTAAACCCTCTTGTTCTGTCTTGTCAGCAAGCTGTGCAGTGCCTGGGCCGTGTTCCGCACTTGTGCAGCACCTGAAGATCCTGCCTGGTGTCTCCCCGTCAGGGGAAACAGTCATGGGCAGGGACTGGAGGGGATCCCAGCAGTGGGAGGTGGTGGGACTCCTCCTGAGCTGTTCCTGGAGGGGAAGGGGTCAAAGAAGCTGATGTTTTGAAAGTACACAAGTACCAGAGAATGCCGGAAGGTGGGATCAATTGTCTGGAATCTTCCCTCTTGGCTGCATTTGCTACTCATTACCAGCCTGGGGCTTCCCCCCACCATGCACATGTACTCCTTAAAAATGGACAGCTCGGGATCTGGGATTCAAGTGGGATGGCAGGCCCCTGCATGCTGTGAGGTGTGAGACACTTAGACCTGGTGGTAACTCCCTATGGCGCAGGACTCCATGTAAGTGGGTCACCTACACCCTTTGCAGTCAGTGCTGAGAAATAACTGTCTTAGTGGTGATTTGCCTGTGCTGTCTCTGCTCAGGCAGAGATGACATATAGCCAATGGCATCTGTTTCAAGCGCTGATGCATCTGCACAGTTACACATCTGGATGGGCTGATGAAGCTCTCAAAGAAGGTGCCTCACAAAGTGGTGTCTGAAAGGGGCACCAAAGACCCCCTGCCCAGTACCTCCCCTGGAGCAGGAGGCCCAGAGCAGGTTCTTCTGGTGCAGGAGCCGTGACCACAAGGGGAGCAACCTGCTGTGAAGTGCCAAACCCTGTTCCCACCCTGCAGTGGGGAGGTACCAGCAGTGGGACTGGGAGCTGTTGCCACACACAAGGGCACAGGGAGGGCAGGACCTGTCCCCAGCTGCTCAGTAGTGGTATGAGGCCTGTGCCACCCCTCTTGGTTTTGGGGTCATCAAACCTTGCTCTGCAGTGGGTCATGCTTTGAACAGAGATGGGGAGCAAAGGACAGACAGATGTCCCCCAGGGTGGCCTGGTGGCTTTCCCCTGAGCATCGCTAGCACCGTGCAGCCTGATGAATGAAGTGATCTTCCTCAAAGACGCAGCAAGGCAGGGAGTAGACAGAGACAGAGCACACGTCTGCATGCTCTGTGTGTGTGTGCACGCTGAGAGATGGCAGTGCCCCGCTTTGCTATAGCGTTATGTTGCCAGCTCCTGTCTCCCTGCATCATATCAACTCCCCACCCTTCCATCCCTGCTCACACCACCCTCTGCCTCTTGCCCGCTGCAGCCCCTGCCCTGGGCACACCGCAGGCAGGGCCCAGCCTGCGTTTTGGGCAGCAGGTTGTTTCCAGCACGCCGTGCCACGGGCACTGTCGGTGTGGGGGGGCCCGAGGTTTTGCTTTCCGGGAGGGAAGGTGTGCGAGCATCCCCCGGGCAGGGCAGAGCTGCCCCTTCTTGTGCCCAGCGGCCATCAGAGCAGGAGGGAAGGGGGAAAACCCGCTGGATTTAGGAGCAGACTTGCTTGCCCTGCACAGGGCCCTGCGGGCCGGTGCTCTCCCCAACACCCCCATCCTGGCGCTGCGCGGGGCTCTGAGGGACCCCGGCCCCGGGGCATGGAGGGTGATGAGATGCGGGGGGCTGTGGGGGGCAGCCCGGCCGCCGCTCCCCCCCCCCCCCCGGGCGCATCACCCCCGCCGCCTC